GGGCTCTTTAGCTTTTAATAATATATTTAATTTAAGTCATTTTATAACAATTATTGTTTGAAGTCTTTATTTTATTTTATTTTATTTTTTAGGATGGACTCCTTCGGTTGGTCGGATGTGCAATGATATGCCCATCTTTAGGGAATGATTGAAATGCTTATTTTCGCGTTTAATCGAGCTTGTTCATTTAAGCATTCATAAATAGTTTGTCGTGTCAACTACAATTCCTGTTAGGAGGGGGATCAGGTTGGATGAGTCGAGAATAAGTCTGGCCCATTAGTCTATTTAGAGAAGGAAATCAGATTAAAATGTGGGACTTATGATCTTACACAGCAAAAAATGCAGCCCATCTAAGAGTGTGCATGACTTGATATTTAATTTGATTTTTAAAAATGACATTTATGTGAAATTTTAAAACACATGCACTATTCTAGAAGTGAGATATTTTTGGATTTAGTTTGATTTAAGCTCGCGCAACATTTTCAAACATTTAAGATTTGAAAACTTAAGCAAAGTAACACAGCATATGAAGACATTTAAGATTTATAAATTTGGACTGATCTATAGAGATTTTTTTTTCATTTGCACAAATGTGTTATCTGTAAAGAATCTGCAAATGTTTCATTCGGGCCTTTAGTTTCGCCTTTTTCTGCAAGTGCAGAGGGATTGCAAATCCTATAACAATGGAAGACAACTTACATTTTGACTATATATTTGAAATTATGCATATCTCCTACACTTAGCTTGCACTTAAGTGCTCAAGAGGACACCCATCCATAATCGTAATGTTTGGTTTCAAATAGATTTGTTTGCATTTATAAATGAGCTAATGCATACACCATTGCTTTCATTCGAGCTCTTTGATGAGTTGTCAAGTCTCTTGTAAATTATGTACAAGTCCTTTTTAGTGTTCTTTTATCTCTATAGGTGAACTAGTGAGTTCGTTACTGGCTTCATCCAAGCTCATTGATGAGTTATCAAGCTCTCTGATTGTGGAAAATTTCATGTGGGGGCCTTAAAAGTCACATTCTGTTTACTAAATGTGAAAGCAAGACGTTGAATTGACTTATATCTTTCTCTCTTCTCCTCTTTTTTTTTTGTTGCAAGAGATCCCCTCTCTCTCTCTCTCTCTTCAATGATTTTTCTCTTTATATTTGCTTTGCCTATGATTGTAGGATGTTAGAGAAGAAAAAATTTCATGGGTTTATATGGTGAAGAATTCATCTGTTAACATCAATGATCAATGTTAATTAAATATTTTTGTACCCACTATAATGAACATTTGTTAATTTATGATAATCCCCATTTATAACTTTATAATAACTTCCACTTAAACCTTTGTAGTAGCCACTATCTAGGACTTTGTAAAGAGCCATTATTTAGACTAATTAGAAAAATGAACCACACTTAACATGGGAAATGCTTCACTATAGCATGGTTCAACTATTGTGAGACATGTTGAAAATTATATCATTAGCACATTTACTTAAGGGGATATGATAATCTTACATGTGTTATAGCTGCAAACACAAACAATTATCTCTATAATGATCTCTCAACTATTCAATTATAACTATCCTAGCAAATCACATCAATTATGAGTAGGGAGGGGCAATGAACATCTTGCATCGCCATTTATGCTCAACTTTCTATTCTATTTATAATGATTTCAACTATAAAGTATGGAATTGCAATGGCTATTTCTAAAATGAAATGGATCTCTTCATTACTATAGTCGTCCTACAAGAATTTCTTTTATGTTTCTCATACCTTTTTACTCCAAAATATGAAGGAATATAATTGAGAGGAAGTTAGAGGGTTTTATATAAGAAAGGAGTACAATTTGAAGAATTCAATTTCCATGCAAGTGTTTATGAATAAGGAAATACATTATATGATAAATGTAAAATACAAATTCTTAGAAATATAAAAAAAAATAGTAAATAGAATAATTGAGCAAACAGACCAACAGAAACATACCCAAAAAAAGTCGGATATGAATCATGGAGATCTGAATAGGGAGAAGCCGCTACTAGTTTCAAAATATGAATCACACAAAACGCTCAAAAAATTTTTTCAATTTCTTGAGAAGGATACATGGATTTTTTTTTATTTCAGAAAAGATAAACCCAAAGGATAATATGATACCCTCAACTACTATATTAAAAAATGAAGAATATACTAAAAAAAAAAAAAAAAAAAAAAAAAAAAAATACAGTAATCCCAAACAACCCTAACAAAAAATGATACTGAACTTTTAAGAGGTAAAGCCTATTATTACTACAGACGATCATCATCTAACATAAAGCTCCATCTTGTCCAACCTCACCGCCGGCACCGCAAAGAGCTATAAAGCTCCGTCTTGTCCAACCTCACCGCCGGCACCGCAAAGAGCTGCTCCGTCTTCCTTAAAACCGTCCCAAACCTCTCCTGAAGATCTAGCGACTTCCCCTCCGGCAACTGCCAGTCGAACGAATGCAATAGAGATGCCAAAATGTAAACAACCATCTTCTCTCCCATTGCAACTCCTACACACATTCTTCTCCCCGCCCCAAATGGCATGTAGCAAAACTCATTCCCTCCAAAAGAAAAACTACTCTTTTCCTTGGCAGCTTCCAACCACCTCTCCGGCTTGAACTCCCCTGCATCCTTCCCCCAAAAACAGGGATCCCTATGAATGGCCCACGCGTTGACGAAGACGGTGGTGCAAGTGGGAATGGAGAAGCCGCCAACGGCACAGTTAGAGCAGGAACTGGTGGGTAGAGTCAGAGCGCTTCTTTGGTGACGGCGCATAAGTGGCGGAGTTAAGAGATGTCTGACTCTTCAACGACGCGATGCTTTCCAACGACGGCGTCAAGCTCTTGCTGAGCTATTCGCATCTTCATTGGGTGGTTTAACAGCTCCGCCATTGACCATTCTATAGCTGTAGTAATGTTGTCTGTTGCTCCCCCGACGAGATTCTGCGATGTTAATAAATTCATGTTAGTTTTTTGGAAGGATAATCGACCCATTTTATTCAGTAAATTGATCCAACTTTGCTTGGATTTTAGCAAAAATGGCAGCTTTTGGTATAAATTCGTTTTAGAATCATCAAATAAGATCTGTGATTTAAGAAAAACAAGAATTTGGATCCTGAACTAAATTTGACTATATAAGTTTTAAAATTTTAAATTTATTGTAATATTAGTACAATTTATAAATAATCAATCAGCTCTTATTTTATATACTCTTATTCAGGATTATACATATTGAAAATAATATAAGCTTCTCAGGGTGGAATTTACTTTTTTGTTTAGCTTTTATTTATCTCATGTAGTCAATTAGACTGTCCCTATATGCTTATTTGTAGCAGATTTTTTATGCTGTAGTGCTTTTTATATGAAACTGAAACTTTGTAGTTCACTCTTCGAATTAGAAATATAAATATTTTTAATTTTGCTATTCTTTTGAAAATGGTTAGATTAATTAATGCTATCGCATTGAGTTTTAATTCATATTCAGAAATTTATTCACTATTTTTGTCGGTTAACAACTATTTTTGCCGGTTAACATTCATCTTTTGTGAAAGTTCAACTGTATTTTTTATCTTTGTTTTCAACAGGCTGTTGTCAGAGTATTTTCAACAGGTTGGTGTCAGAGTATCATTTAAGAATTAGTAAAGATACAGTTAGGGGTGTAAACGAACCGAACACGAACGAACAGAGCTTGTGTTCGTGTTCGGTTCGTTTGAAATTTAGTTTGTTTGAAATAAACTCGTGTTTGAAATTGTTCGTGAAGTTACTGTTCATGTTCGTTTCTTAACGAACGAGCTGAACACAAGCTGTTCGCGAACGACGAGCCAATTTGACATCCTTAATATTAAGATATATAAATATTATATTACATTAATTATATAACTTATATTATATAAATATATAATATGTATATCAGTATATTATTAATATAGTATATTAATATACTATTATTATTATTATTTTACTATATATTATAATTTATAAAATTTAATTTTTTGAATATCATAAATTTTTTATATATAATTATTTTAAATTATTTTATATTTCGAACAATAACGATTCGAACCCGAATGAACGCATCACTGTTCGTGTTTGGTTCATTTAACTAACTGAACGAAAAAAATTTATTCATGTTCGTCTCGTCTACTTATCGAGCAAATCAAACACAAACTCATTGACGAACCGAACACGAACTGTTCGCGAACAACGAGCTTTTTTGACAGCCCTAGATACAGTGATAAAGTATTATGTAGAGAGATTTGTAGATAAAAAAGATTTTGATTTTTAGAAGATGCACTACATCAAAATTGTTAAGTAGCATCTGAAATATTTTTTACGCAAAATTAGCGACTGATTAGCGTCCATTAGCGTTGCACCGCGGTCCCAAAATTAGAAGAAATGACGTTAACTAGACACTAAATTCACTTAATAGTATTAAGTGAGTCGGCCATATCCTATGCTATTCCGACGCTAGAGCCCTAAAATATGGTTCATGCGAACCACAGCTCTACTTCGCGGGCTCCTTTTCCTTCGGCTTCGTTCCTCCGTTGTCTCCTCGGCTTCTTCGGAAAATCTAACTCCGTTTCACTGCTATAACCCCGTCCAAGGTGAGAATTCTTCTTCCACGTCTTCAAGCTTTTGTTTAGTGTAAGTTTTCATTCTTTTTTCCCTTGTGTAAGTGTCGAATCGAAAAAACATAGGTTTTCTAATTTTTTTTGTTTCCATTGTTAGGTATGCAATGCATATATTGTAGTGTAAAAAATTTTGATGTGAAATACGAAAATACATAAGAAAATTGTGGTATGCATGTAAATATGAAAATTGGGTGTGAGATATGTGAATGCATTAGAAATTAGTGCAATATATGTATATGAAAATTTAGGTGTGAGACATGCTATGTATGTAAATATGAAAATTTAGGTGTGAGATTTGTAAATCAGATATGCTAGAGGGCCAAGAAGCTTGGCAGAGATCCATCCACAACAATGTCGCATGTCCTTACACATCAGCACACGGGCACACAACAGTGGGTATACGACCACTCTCGTCGTGTCAATGTAAGTGTTAAACATTTAATTGTATCATTATGTCAATTAATGTTTAAAATGCCAACTACTATTTGAATTTTTTTATGCAAGAGGCTTACGAGTAGGTCCGGGAGAGAAAAAGGGAGCTGGCGAGACAGACCTCACCATCTATTAGCAGTGGTAGTTATTCTATCACTGTGCAGTCCGAGTATAAGTTGTGGACACAGACAATGGGGAAGAAAAAAGGGATAGTGTAGGGCCTCAGAGAAAATGGGATGACTTTCGAGGCCACGTGCTCACGAGCAGTTGTGGGTGGCCCTAGCTCATTACAGGTTCAGCACGAGGAGCTTGTCAAGCGTGTGATGATCTCAAGCGTGTGAAGATGATGAATGAAGAGCTTCGATAAGTGTGTGAGGCCAACATCTCGTTACAGTTATCGTAGTACGTCTGACGAAGAGTTTTGATCGCCCGCAAGTGGCACATGCGTCCGGTCGAGCAGGAGGAGTAGGATGATGATGAGGAAGAAGATTAAGTTTTTTTCTGTATTTGATGTTCCTCTGACATAGGGGTTGACTTTATGTTTTTTTTATTTTTGTATTGTACGAACTTTCAGTTTCTTGTGTTGTGAATTCTGATCAGTTTAATCCGTTTATATTAAATCTAATTTGGTATCATTATGTGTATGTTGGAGATTTCTTTTATGAGTTGTGATGATAGATAAATATTATATTATGATGATTGTGTTTGTTATGTGCATGTACGTGGAAGTCTAATCGTTTTGTTGATTTTCTTTTTTTTTTGTTTCTTATAGAGAAGTGTCAGAAATTTCTGACACTAACACCTGCAATCAACCAAAGATACTAGCAGCCGCTAAAACAATTTAATAGCGTTGAAATTAGACGACGCTGATTGGTGTCGGATATGACAAACACTAATTAGGATCGTCCCTATTCGACGATAATCTTCGTCGTTCATGTTCAACGCTCTTGCGTCGCTATGTCAGAGTCACTTGCATGTTTGACGACATTTTTTAGTGACGACTAATTTCGACGCTAATCTGATGCATATTAAAGTCCAACGCTAATGTTTACACCAAATATATTAACGAAGCCTATTTTAACAATAGAAAAAAAATGCTTTTTGGATGCAAATCTGAATTTGCGTCGGAGAACAAACCGATTAGTGTCGGAAATGTCTGACACTAAGTAGGATTTTTTTTTATAGTGATAAAAATAGAAGTAATACTGTTAGTATAATCTGAATCTAAATTGCCTGCAAGACTATACAATCAAAAACAGATTAACATTGAGGAAAAAGGTGTTTTAATTTGATCATCTTATGTTTAGAAGATAAAGTGTTTAGAAGATGATTGGTGTAAATTGTTTTAGAATTATGGAGGAAATTTGAGAAATTGTAGATGCTTTTCAATTGAATATACTTGAAGGATAAACTCATCGATTGTACAATGGAAGACAACAAACTCATTAATGTCAACTTGGTTTAGTTCGTTAAGTTAGTCAGGGAATTTTAAAACATGGATGTTAAGATTGAAGATAAGGATTAGGCTATTGTATTGATTAACTCATTGTTCAAATTTATTAAGCATTTTTAAAGAAACTTCGATGAGAAGAAAATCACTATCGTCAATAAATTCTAGAATGCTATCTTCAATGATCTTATATATGAAGGTCTCTAAAAAGAGTAATCATGGTGAAGATTTGCATATCCATGCATGATCTTCAAAAGAGAAAAAAATTCCAAGAAGCATAAGTTTAAGATTAGAGATTGATCAATATTAGAGAAAAAAATAAGAAAATATGATGCGTGTTGGAAGGTCTGTTGCGGTAGAGTAATGAATTGTCTTTTTAGTATTGAACAAACACCCAACACACACTTACGTAATTAAACAGAAGTATGCAGTAAGAGATACCTCAGTTTTTAGGTAAAACATCTTGGAAAAAGCCTAAGGACCTTGCCATGTTAAATAATTCACTATGAGTTGTGAGTACACAAATATGCTCTTGTTATGAATTATGAAAGATAGAGTTATAAAGATGTCATTATAAAATTACAACAATATTTCATCGATAATAGTTATAGTTTGACTGCAATGAATATGAATCTCAGTGATAACTGGTTGCAAGCTTTTTAGTCAATTGGTATGAAAGCAGTAGTTAATTGTGAATGTTGTAGATAGTGGTTGTAGTGTCAGCTTATTTTATTGACCGCAGATAAAAGCCATGATAGCAGTTAGCTGTGTGGGTTGAAGATAGTTGTTTCAAAGCATCAATTGGCCATAGAAGTCATAATGGGAAGCTACAGAACCTGTGATCTACGTAGACCATATTTGGTTGCATAGGGGTGAGCGGCGATAACATTGGTAGATCGCAGAGGTTAGCGTTTGGAACAATATGAGTTGTGGGTCACATTGGTCGTAGTTGTTCATAAAAACCATAACTGACAGTTGCGATAATGACTACAGTTTGCAGAGGCATGAGTCAGTAGATGCATGAGTAGTAAGTAATGTAGGCGGTAAAAGTGAGCTGTGATGATATTTGTAGACCACAGGGGTCGGATTTGAGAACTGCATGTACTGAAATAACATATATAGGCTGCACGGGCTGAAGTCAGGGGTTGCACAAGTTGAAAGCCACATAGATTGTGTTGGTCGCTTGGACCATAGTGGTGAGTTGTGATGATGTTCATAGGCTATAGAGACTGAAGTCGGAAGCTGCACGAGTTGTGTTCCAAGTAAGCCTTAGTCGATCATGTATGCAAGGTGCATTATTTTTTTGCAATGTACACTAGGATATCATAGTGCACACTGCGATTCTACAAGAAGATTCATCACAAAGAGCAAGTGGTGGCTGATTGTGTTCTACGATGGCAGACTAGCGGAGTGGGAAAAATTTGCTGGATTTTTAGTACAAAAATGACATTGTGCTTCAGCTCATTCTCCTGATCCTTCATTAGGCTCAGCTCTTTGTCTCTCTAAAGAGGGGGATATAGCTCTATTTATATAGTTTAGGAAATGTCTCTCTACAAATAAGAAATGAATCTGAATAACTTTATCAGATGGCTCAGAGAGATTTTCCTGATTAGATGGCATTTGGTAAACCATTGAATGCAATAATGAAGTCAAAAATTAAACAATCTTGCGCTCCTCCAATTTGTCTCGCCAAGATGTTCGATTTGACTAAAAGCTTAATAGATTTGGAATCTGTTTGACCTTACAATTATGCACTAAGAACTTGCAAGAGTAGTTTAAAAGCTTGATCTATGCTTAATTTGCTCGATTAGATCAATTTTGGCATCATTGGGTCTATCTCTTCGAGCCAGTCTGTTTGACTATAAGTTTGCTAAAATTAGAATTCTTGAGGATTTTTAATTGAAGTTAGAATGTTTCTAGGTCAAAAAATTACCTTCTATTCGAGCCAGTCAGTTTAAATATAAGTTTGCTAAAATTAGAATTATTGAAAATTTTTAATTGAAGTTAGAATGTTTGTAGCTGAAAAAATTATCTTTAAATTCAGGCAATCCATTGAAATTTTGTGTCTGATGATGAAAATTTGTTGAAGGCATATGTCTCGCATCCTAGTGGGGCTCCCCTATGTCGCGCCCGACACACCTGTGTGTGTTATTTTTTTCACGTGGTTTGCAATCAATGATGCAAAATCATGCAGATCGCACGCAACAGCATCTAATTGTGTGAAATCAGGTGGTTCTGAAGGGTTGCTGCAGCAACACTCAAATTCTGGTCAATTTTTTGCAATTTCATGGTTTCCTGCTTTTGGGGCCATTTTGAGCCTATTTGGAGGAGGAAAGAGGTGGAGTCCCTCTCTGAAGTCCACCAACATGCTAGGAGGTAATCAATGTGGCTTCTAGAATAAAAAGAAGTGGAGCACCCCTGTTTACTTGTGCAATCAACAGGGCTCCCATAAGAAAAAATGGTGGAGCAGCTGGATCTTTTGTGTGTGTGTGTGTGTGTAAGCAAAAAAAGGAAAAACTAAAAAAAGTCTATAATATGAGTGCTTTTGTACGTAGGTACACTACGTGCAGTGCAGGATTGATACGCAACAACGTATGAAACCCCACGCCGCATAGGCTGCTGCAAAAATAATTCAATATTTTGAAGGCTAGTAGATTATTTGGTCATGTGGGCACCAAATAATTCGTTCCCATTTGGGTCGAAACTCAGTGTGCTTTAATTGATCTGAAGTGCCCGCGCCACGGGATTCGAACCCCCGACCCGAGGAACTTACGCCAGAGGCCGCACCAATGAGCCGAGACGTAGAGCACAACTATATATATATATATATATATATATATATATATATGTATTTAAGGTATTTTCATGTGAGGTATTTTCATGTGATATGTACTTTTATGGTATTTTCATGTGATATGGTTAGTCATAAGCAACTTTGAGATTTGTACTTTCCATATCAAGCAATTTTGTTAAGTTAACGAGGTATTGACCACATCCATGATGTGGGACATTAGAAACTCTAAAGAATTGTGTATGTTGATCTTTTTTTATTTTTTGAAATCATTTAATGATTGTTGGTTGTCTTGTATTGATGTTGAAGAGTTTGATTTCATGTTGCTCTAAAGCTGTGCAGCGTTGATACCGTAAAGAAGTCTTTCGAGAGAGAAAAAGAAAGAAAACTGATGTAAAGTTCCAGGAGAAGGAGCCTCAAGGTAGCTAAGTGAAGTACTCCGTGCAACCCTTATTTTATTGCTTAATTCATACATAATAACGTGGCAAGCTTCTAATTAAAATAAACCTAAAGGGTAAATGACATTACACATATAAGTGCACTCAAATCTAATTTTATTTTCTACACAGAGAATACCTTACACTTAAAGCATAAATATTCATAGACTAAGAATAGAGCTCCGGCTTAGCTAATCTCATCGTCGGCACAGCAATGAGCTGCCCCGCCCTCCTCAAAACAGTCCCAAACTCCTCCTCAGAATCCATCGACGCACCCTCTGGCAAATGCCACTCGAACGAATGCAGGAGAGAGGCAAGCATGTAATGAACCACTCTCTCTCCCATTGCAGTCCCCGCGCACGCCCTTCTCCCGGCTCCAAATGGCATGTAGCAGAATTGATCATTCCCTCCCACATAAAAGTTGATTTTTTCATTGCCGGTTTCCAAGAACCTCTCCGGCCTAAACTCCTCGGCATCCTTTCCCCACAAACAGGGATCCCTATGAATGGCCCACACGTTGACGAAGACGGTGGTGCCGGCGGGAACCGAGTAGCCTCCGATGGCACTTTGAGAGCTTGGGCAGTGAGGGATGAGCAGAGGAATTGCAGGATGGAGGCGGAATGTTTCTTTGACGACCGCACATATGTAGCGGAGCTGAGGGATGTCAGACTCTTCCACGACGCGGTGCTTTCCGACGACTGCATCAAGCTCTTGATGTGCTTTCTGCATCCTTGTTGGGTCGCTTAACAGCTCGGCCATGGCCCATTCTACGGTAGTGGAAGTGCTGTCGGTTCCTGCTCCTATAAGATCCTGCAATGAAAGATAATCTATGTAATCAGAAGAAAAATCACTGACGAAATTTTGTATTTTTGATAAAGTTTGTTTGAATTTTGGCTTTGTTATCTATTTTAATCGAGGATTACAATTTTTAAAATTTATTTACTACTTTTACAGACTTTTTTTGTAGCCTTTGCATTCACTTTTTTTCCACTTGAGAAAACTTTACCTAAATAGCATGTAATTCTTAACTCTTTACATGTCTGACACCTAAAATGAGTATTTCGCTTTTGAAAACTTAGTATTAGTGATGTTTTCTTATGGGATAAATTTTAAAAAAAAGCTATCTTTTTTTTTGGAAGATTTACATGCCTATCGCTTGATTCTATGTGTTTACATATCTAACCCCTAAACTTTAATTTTTATGTATAGATCACCTAAACTTTACATGAAAAAGTGTATTTTACTTTTCTTTTAGTTAAAATAATAATATTTTTTATGTGATATGAAAAGTTTGAGGGGTATGAATGTAAGAAAGTAAGATTTGTGCTAAATATGCAATATGCAAAAAAGAAAGAACAGTTATTAATAATGACGAATGAAAAGTTGTGAAAACAAATTTTTAATTATCATTTAGCTTCATTTAGACAATTAAATTAAATTAAATTAATTATATTTTTTTAAAAAATATTCAACATATTATAATTTAATTGTAATCAAATTATTAAGTTAATTTTAAAATTTAATACGAGTGCTCCATAATTTTTAATTGGACCAAATTAATTTTGGGAATTTAATTGACTAGGGCCCAAACAAAGACTCGGTATGCTAAAATGAGGCTTTGACAGGGTCATTTAAACATCTATAAAATTCAGAAATAAACTTTATTTTTTACATTTATACCTGTCAAATCTTTTATATCAAATAAAACTATCATTAGTTAACAAGAAAAATACTTTTTTATGCAAAAGTTTGCTGCCTATATGAAAAAATTGAAGTTTAGATAATAGATATGTAAATAAATATATAGGAATCAAGTGATATATGTAAAAATCTCAAAAAAAATGAAAATAAAATAAAAAGAACTGTTTACTTAAGAATAAGAAGTCAACGTGAAAAAATAAATTAAAAAAAAAACCTGCTGAAGCAATAAATGAAGGTAGTTGAAAGCTGTGAGAAGGAAAAAAAAACTTAACATACATCAAGTATTTAAATCTTATAAATTCATGAGGTTTATTTGCTATATATCTATGTAAATATCTCTTTTTTGATTATATATATGTAATATTTTCTTCCTTCTTCTAAAAGTCATAAGTTCAAAGCAATAGAGCGCTTGAAAGCAAATATGATCGAAAAAAATATTATTTCAGACGAAAAGGCCACCCTAAAAATGAAGTGATCCCCAAATTTAAATTTTTAATTATATGGGAGGATAATTTTATGTTTTTGGCTCTATTAATTTACTAAGTAAAGGTTGGATCTTCATCAATATGATGTGTTAAGTATGAATTTTGATTTGTGTTCAAATCAGTTGAGAATCATTAGGTGTTGAAAGAAGATGCACATGGTAGAAGAACTACGACTCACCACCATCAGTTTATAGGCATTATCCAAGGTGAACGGCGCCTCCGGGTTCCCCATCTCTACGAGGTCCAGTAACGCTTCCAACACATCCCTCCTCCTCTCCCCGCCCGCCATCATCCGCTTCTTTTTCTCCACCGTCATGTCAAGATACTTATAAATCCACCCCATGAGCTTCTTTACCCGCCGCCCTAACCCCTGCGGGTCGAGTGCCGCCACCACAGGAAAAAAATCAGCTACGTTGGGCGCCATTAAGAGTTCTACAACGTCCTCGATCGCTCTCCGGAACTCCTTCCCCTCGCCGGCGCTGGCAACTCGTTCCCCCCACAACATGCTCGTCATCATGTTGAGCATGGTCTTGAACGTGGTCTCCCGCACATCCACAGCCGCACCGGTCCTCGCGCTGGCCAACAACTCCTCCACCGTGCGCCGCATTTCCCTGCGGCGAAACGGCGCGACGACTTCTATGCTGGCTGCGTTGAGCATCTCCTGCACGGCTGTTTTGCGCATCGTGCGCCAGAGAGGGCCGTATGGGGCCAACAGAAGGTTGGGGTTGGAGCCGCGAAAGTAGAAGCGGGCTGCGGCGGGAGTGGCGTGGTTTGCAAAGGCGACGTCTTGATCTTTAAGAATCTGGCGGGCGGCGGACGGGGAGGAGATTGCGACGCAGAGTTTGGAGCCTAGGCGGAGGCTGAGTACCGGGCCGTAGGTGCGGGCAAGGCCAGCGAAATAGTGGTGGAGGTTTCGGTTGATGAAGGGGAGGCTGCCGAGAATCGGCAGGCCGTAGGGACCTGGAGGGAGAGGGAGGTGCTGGTAGGCATTTCCTCGTTTGCGTTTTAGCATGATGAAAAGCAGGAAGGAGACGGCGAGGGAGAGTGCTAGTAGTGCTGCTATTCCTTTATCGGTTGAGATAATTGGAGTACTGATCAACACCATCCTCTCTCTCGCTCTCACGCCCTCTCGCCACCTGCTGGGAATGTTCAACGCTGTAGCTGTTAAGTCTGTCTGGTTTGTGAGACTACTTTTATGTATCCATCTATTTATAAGGTGTGATATCGGATGCTGAATTTATGCCTTTGAGTTGGCGGTCGTATGCATCCAAAGACAATGTCAGTTATTGCTGACAATGAATGTATAGTTTTTTTTTGAGGGGGTGGGCATTTACTTACCCACTACACAATTTTTATATTTTTTTTATAACACCTAAAAATTAAGTATAAAAATCCAATTATGGGTATTAGATATCTAAAAGGGTAGCTATATAAATTTTCATTTTGTTTTCAAGTAAAAGCAAAAACTAACTTAATAATTGGTGTCTTTATAATATATCATTAAATGTGTTTGTTTGTACACCCCAATAAAAGAAGTCCTTCCTTTGAAAGAAGCCTCCGATTGTTCATGTTGACGAATATCTTGAAGGTGACCTCTGAAAGTTTTCTATCGGTTCCAAGTCCCTTGGGTGCACAGCGCCACAAGGCTGAGAGGACACCAAGCAGAGTAGTGCCTAGGGGGAGGCTACGACAGAAAAAAATAACGAGGGATCCGTCACCCCTCAGTCGCCCTTCTCCAATTGGCTCAAGTGATCTTTAGATCGAGCTCGAGGCAATCAGTCACAAGGAGGTGCGCCGAAAGAGGAAGGCAAGTAAATTAATTCGACTGACTTGCATCCTACCCCTCTTCAGAAGAAGCAAAAGGGTCTCCCATTTGAGTGGGTTCTTATGCAAGATGAAAGGGAGAATGTGAGCACTAGCTCGTACAGTCGCTTAGCCTTGATTAATCTGAGAAAAGATTGATAGTCGGACTGCCTCGCAACGGCTTTCTACCCTTCAACAATCTTCGATATTTTTTGATCTTGTGCTTTGGAGATAATCCTTATCGAGCAAAGTTTATCTACACTTCTAGCTGAAAGTCCTCCTGGGTACTAATAAAAAATTTTTGCCCACTAAGGAGAGGGTAAAGGCAGCAGAAGAATGGGTGAAGGCGGCTGAAGCCAAAATACTCGGACAGTTAGAGTTGTTGTGGACTACTTGGAGAGAACCAAGCACTGAAGGAGAAGATGTTGATGATGAAGGCGTTTGAGAAGTTCTTCACTGAACTTTCTTCTCACACTCGGCAAGTGTAATTCCTCGCTGCACAACTTACGCACATAGTCACATTCGATGTTGTTATGCTGGAGCACGGTTCACGATTCTGCCTCCCACTCCCTGTGCCGATCACAAAAGCTCACACTCCCGATTTGATCGCAAAAGGTCGCGATCGCGACCTGCGGCTTCCTTAATCGCTCTTGCCTTCCTCTTTTTGGAGTAGCGAAGCATCCCTTTCTTCCTTTCTGTTCGTGATGAAAGCTTCCAGTGTTTAATTAGGGAATACGTCTGGTCCATTAGTCTATTTAGGGAAGGAGATCATATTAAAATGTGGGACTTATAATCTTACACAGCAAAAAATGCAGCCCATCTAAGAGTGTGCATGACTTGATATTTAATTTGATTTTTAAAAATGACATTTATGTGAAATTTTAAAACACATGCACTATTCTAGAAGTGAGATATTTTTGGATTTAGTTTGATTTAAGCTCGCGCAACATTTTCAAACATTTAAGATTTGAAAACTTAAGCAAAGTAACACAGCATATGAAGACATTTAAGATTTATAAATTTGGACTGATCTATAGAGATTTTTTTTTCATTTGCACAAATGTGTTATCTGTAAAGAATCTGCAAATGTGCAAATGTTTCATTCAGGCCCTTAGTTTCGCCTTTTTTTGCAAGTGTAGAGGGATTGCAAACCCTATAACGATGGAGGACAACTTAGATTTTGACTATATATTTGAAATTATGCATATCTCCTATACTTAGCTTGCACTTAAGTGCTCAAGAGGACACCCATCCATAATCGTAATGTTTGGTTTCAAATAGATTTGTTTGCATTTATAAATGAGCTAATGCATACACCATTGCTTTCATTCGAGCTCTTTGATGAGTTGTCAAGTCTCTTGTAAATTATGTACAAGTCCTTTTTAGTGTTCTTTTATCTCTATAGGTGAACTAGTGAGTTCGTTACTGGCTTCATCCAAGCTCATTGATGAGTTATCAAGCTCTCTGATTGTGGAAAATTTCATGTGGGGGCCTTAAAAGTCACATTCTGTTTACTAAATGTGAAAGCAAGACGTTGATTTGACTTATATCTTTCTCTCTTCTCCTCTTTTTTTGTTGTTGCAAGAGATCCTCTCTCTCTCTCTCTTCAATGATTTTTCTCTTTATTTGCCTATGATTGTAGGATGTTAGAGAAGAAAAAATTTCATGGGTTTATATGGTGAAGAATTCATCTGTTAACATCAATGATCAATGTTAATTAAATAGAATAATTGAGCAAACAGACCAACTTAAACATACCCAAAAAAAGTCGGATATGGATCATGGAGAGCTGAATAGGGAGAAGCCACTACTAGTTTCAAAATATGAATCACACAAAACACTCATAATTTTCTTTCAATTTCTTGAGCAGGATACATGGATTTTTTTTTATTTCATAAAAGATAAGCCCAAAGGATAATATGACACCCTCAACTACTATATTAAAAAATAAAGAATATACTAAAAATAAAAATAAAAATATAAAAAAACAGTAATCCCAAACAGACCCTAACAAAAAATGATACTGAACTTTTAAGCGGTAAAGCCTATTATTACTACAGACGATCATCATCTAAACTAGGGCTGTCAAAAAAGCTCGTTGTTCGCGAACAGTTCGTGTTCGGTTCGTCAATGAGTTCGTGTTCGATTCGTTCGATAAGTAAACGAGACAAACACGAACAAATTTTTTTCGTTCGGTTAGTTAAACGAACCAAACACGAACAGTGATGCGTTCGTTCGTGTTCGAATCATTATTGTTTGAAATATAAAATAAT